TGAGGACCCGCGGCTGCGGCGACGGCGGGGGGCGCCTGCCCTGGGGGAGCTGCGGGTGCCCCTGAGGAAGCTGGTGCCCAACCGAGCCCGCAGCTTCGACGTGTGTCTGGAGAAGCGGAGGCTGGTGAGTGGGGGCACTTGCGAGGCAGAGCTGGGGCAGGGCGGGGCAGGGCCTGGCGGTCACCGCTCTCTGCCCTTTCAGACCAAGAGGCCCAAGAGCCTGGACACCACGCGCGGCATGTCCCTGTACGAAGAGGTGGGTAGGGCTGGGGAGGGGCAGGCAGGGGTCCAGGTGGGCCGGCAGAAGTAAGGCCCCCAAGAGGCCCTTGGGCCCTGTAGCCCCAAAAACTGGCGTGCCAGTGAGAGTGGGGTGACCTCCCTGTTGGGACAGCCCAGAGGGGCCAGGTGGCTCTGGGGCCAGCCTCGTGCCGAGGCTGGAACTTGATCATGGCCCAAGCTCGAAGGGCAGGTCGAGGTGCAGATGCCGGGGTGGGGCTCCCCGGCCCATAGGCCTGGACTGTGGGTACGACGCCCCGGCCAGGAGCCCTACTCAGGAAGCAGTGAGGGTTACTGCAGTGGGTCCCCATCCCGCCAAAGCGCCCCGGCTGCCCAGCAGGGACAGCCCCACCCTCACCCGCTGCCCACTAGTGGAGCCACCGGTCACTGCAGCAGCCCCTCAGCCAAGCCGGGCGGCAGCAGGGGAGCTGGGGCCCCTGTGGGCGCCCACTTCTGCAGGCCTGCGCCCAGCGGGTGTGCCTGGCGGGCCCCCCCACTGGGGCGGGCTTCGGGGACACACGCCCTCAGTGATGGAGGGAGGGCAGGTCCTGAGCGCTTCCGGGGCTCTTCCGCGGTACCCAGATAGGGCAGAGGACAGCCGGTGCCCGGGCGCGGGGTGGAGGGCGGGTCTTGTCGCTGAGGGAGCTGTGGGCACCAGCGGGGCCTCGGCAGCGCCCCGCTACATCTCAGAGGCAGGTGCAGGGCCGACCAGGCCTGGCCTCGCAGGCCCCTGCCCTCCAGGACACCGAGTCGTGAGATCACAGCCGCTGGCCGCTGCTCGGCGCCCTGTCCAGAGGCCGGGGCTGAGCCCGCTTCCCCCGCAGGACGACGCGGAGGCCGAGGGGGCCGGGGCGGAGCGGGGGCGCATCCTGCTGTCCCTGTGCTACAGCTCCCAGCGCGGTGGCCTGCTGGTGGGCGTGCTGCGCTGTGCCCACCTCGCCCCCATGGACGCCAACGGCTACTCAGACCCCTTTGTGCGCCTGTGAGTGAGCGAGCGGGGGGCAGTGGGCTCCCCTCCAGGGCCCCCTCTAATGTGTCCCCATCCTCCCCAGTTTCCTGCATCCCAACGTGGGCAAGAAATCTAAATACAAGACCAGCGTCCGGAAGAAGACCCTGAACCCCGAGTTCAATGAGGTGGGCCCAACGATCCCGAGCCGCTCGCCGGCTGAGCCTCCTCCCGAAGCTGGGGTCCGGGCACCTGCTCCCTGCCCTTCTCCCCTGCCCGCAGGAGTTCTTCTACCCAGGCGCGAGGGAGGAGCTGGCCCAGAAGACGCTGCTGGTGTCCGTGTGGGACTACGACCTGGGGACTGCCGACGACTTCATTGGTAAGCGGGGACGTCGGGCGGGAGGCCCTGGGGTTCCCGTCTCCTGACGCCTGTCCCCAACCCAGGTGGGGTGCAGCTGGGTAGCCAGGCCGGTGGGGAGCGGCAGAGGCACTGGCGTGAGTGCCTGGGCCGCAGCGACCGGCGGCTGGAGCTGTGGCACCTGCTGGACGGAGTGCCGCTCCAGCCCAGCGACTAGGCGAGCGCCGCCCGGCACTGCCCGCCCCGCCCGCTGCAGGGAGCAGGCGCCCCGGCGTGCCCAGCCCACCGTGCCAGTAGCAGGCCTCCCTGCCCGCTTTCAAGTTCACCCACTGCCGAGTCACGAATAAACAGTCCCCAACCAGACCGCGCCTGCGCCCTCTCTGCCCGTCGCCCGCAGGCAGCCGGGCTGCTCCACTCGCTCGTCCCGGAGGCGGCGCCGGGTCGGGTGCGGGTCGCGGAGCCCCAGCTCGCAGCTGCCCCCACCCGCCCCTCCTGACTGCTTCCTGGGCTGGGGACGGTCCGCAGGCGGGTAGGGGAGTGTCGCTGGCCACGGGGAGCCAGATGCCGCCGGCTGGGCTCTGCCCAGAGACAGGTGCCAAGTGCGGCAGGGCGAGCGCAAGGGCGAGGGCACAGAGGCTGCGCGGGCAGAGTGGGCTGCACCAGCTTTATTGGCCGGCTGTGGGCAGGAGCTGGCGCCCGGAGGGGCCCGCTCAGGAGGCAGCTTGGGCCTGGCGCTGCTGGGCGAACTGCTGCATCCGCCCCTCCAGCTCCGGTCGGAAGTGGCGGATCAGGCCCTGCGGAGACACCGGTGCCTTGTGGGATGGGCGGTGGGGGGAGCGCAAGATGGCAGGAAGCGAGCTTTTTACTTGCCGGCGGGCGTCGCGCGGCTCTCGGGGGGGGGGGGGGGGAAACCCCCCCCCGGGGTTTGGGGGCGAATCGGGCTCGTGGGGGGGCGCAAGGCTCTCTCCGAGTTGGGCTTGGCTGAAGGGCTGGCCGGCGCCCCGGG